CAACAGAACCCGACTTAGAACATATCTTATGGGAGCAATGTGTTTTTTCATTGTTGATCCTCGATTTTTTAATACCATTAGAATACTCGTCATGCTGAATTCACGATCAACTCGAAAAGATAAATGAATCTTTCGTGCAACATATTTGTTAGGTTGTTTGCTTGGGTGTATAACCGCAAATCACTTCCCCAGTTCCCGAAACTTTTCTACAATTATTATTGGAACATTTAAGTATTCTTGTCGAAATTTTTTCAGGGAAAATTCTCTCAAAAACTAGTTTGAATCGATATGGCCTACATACTTTTCCGGCTTCAATCCAACTAGCGATAAGACTGCTATGACGATTCGTGATTAAGGATGTTATCGGGTTGAATAATTTAGTTTGTTTCGGTTTGAACGGCTCGAACCATGAAACCAAACCAAACTGGTTCAAACTGTGATTTCAAACTGTGGTTCAAACCATGGTGATTAGTTTGGAATAAAAATATTATCATTTGAATTCATCTCGAATAGATAAATCAAATGATAATATTTTTTATTCAAAACGGATTACATGGAAGTTGAGATATTATCGTTATATTCTAAAGTGATCAACTAATTTTTTTTATGATGTAATAACTTGACATCTATTGATTCTTTATTATTATCGTTATTATTCAAGACGATACTTTGCCAATCAATTTCTAATACTAATGATTTATTTTTTTATCTTAATACTTATTTTTATTTATTTCTTTTATTATAATAGATTATATTCTGATTAATTACATATTTTTCTTGTTTAAAAAATATAAATAGTAGATATTCTTTATTTAAAATAAGTCAAATATATTTATTTAATTTTAGAAAGTTCTTGTAAGCTTTTTTATATATAAAAGTTTTATTTTATTTTTGATAAATGATCAATATCATGATCTGATTCAAGCAAATACAGTCAAAAGACACCTCCCGCTAAGAACGCTTTTTTATAGGGCCAATTTAGTTTATTAGTGGTATAAAACCTCAATAATAGAACACCTCTACGATAGAACAAAATTTAGGTGTCCTGATCATGTTTTTTTATGGAGGTTTGACTGTACATGTATATTATTATTTAATTGTCTTTATAAGACAATTCAATGATATCAAGGTATTGCACCATAAAGTGGCGATTTATTGTATTTGTGACATAATATTTATGAATATCCATAGAAGTTTATCATCCTATTAAAGACTATTTGTGTCGTGCTTTGTGTTCGAAAATTTCATAACACTACACATGATTTTTGGAAAGTTATCGGGGTGCATTTACTTATGATTCCTACTATATTTTCGGGATTTTGTACATGTACATTCCAGATGTTGTTCATTCAGAATGTCGTTCATTTGGGGGATACCATTTATTCGGGATTTCAATTTCAATCTTTCGGGATGTCGTTCATTCGGGATTTCGACCGTTACTACTATGTAGAATGCATTATAATGAATTAATGAAAAATCAGATAACAAAATACATGAAATCTTAAAATATAACAACAATAACTACCTTCATTTTGGGACATAACAAACTGACACTTGTAAACTCTAAAGTTCGATACAATTATTTAAAAAAGATTTGATTTGGTATTGAAATTAATTTTTTTGGTAAAATTCAACTGGTGTAAATTGCATTTGATGGATTTGACGTTTTTTGTTTATGTTTGTGGGAATGCTTTTTCGCGATTCATTTCTTCATCAATTTCTGTCTTTCTAGTTTAAGATATTCTTTGATTTCTTATGTGATTTAGGACACTCTATAGAATTATAGTATTGAGAATGCAAAAGATTTAACTTGCATCCCCAATATCAGTATATAGATTTAATAAAATCATCAATTTCTTCAACAGTTGGTCTGTTTTTCTGGAGTAGGATCTCAACTAATAAACCTGCTCCATTCGGGATGTTTAGTGGTTATTGTAGGTCGTACTCCATTGTAGATTCGAACTCGTACATAACTATCCCAACACTATAAATACATGTATCTGCAGCCTGTGTGTATGGTTCTCCATTTAACACCTCTGGACTAATATAAGGAAGTATATGTACCTCAAAATTTCTTGAATGCAATTTTTATATCTGCTGGGCGGTAAAGTCCAAATTTAGTAATTTGAGGAGAAATATGCATTAATATATTTCGGGTGAAAATCACGACTTACAAATCCCTCTTTATGGATTTTTATTAAAGCTTTAATAAACAATAATAAATGTGCTAACATTCTAATTTTCATAGTTGGAATTAATATGTTTGCGAAGCTTACATCTTTGAACAATAATTACGATCGAATATTCATTTGTAGCTGGATTTTTATTATTTCATAATAACGAATAAGATCTAAGCTGCACTTTTGTGCAGACTAAAAACTTGTTTGTATTTAGAAAACAAAAACAACTTGTTTATATTTTAGAAATAGTTATTTTTTTACCTCGTTTATTAACTGTAATGTGACTTCTCGCGTTTATAATAACGTTTAAATATATTTTCTTCGTGACCCACATGTTTAATGGTTGAACAACCAGATTGCTTTGTAAATTGTTCCAAACCCTCCTCTTGTACATTGGCAAGTCTTTCAAAAAGGGATCGATTCAAGAGATGTTTCAATTTTCTCGAATTCATTTATTAGACGGTTGGTGTTTTCATTATAAAAATCATCATAAATTCGTTTGATATTTCAAACGGGTCTGATACGAAATCCCGAAGAATATAAGCCTGAATGATCGAAACCCCGAATGAACGAAATCCAGAATGATTGAAATCCCGAACGAACGAAATCCGAAATTGGATAGTTTAGTATTTCTTACAAGGTCTATCCCAATATCTCGACACCCAACATCCCGAAATTCAAACTTAACTCTTCACAGCTTCCCGAAAATTTCTGGTTTATGTCTGGAAATTTGGTTTGGCGGGAAGTTGGGTATGTCGAGATGTTAGACTGTTGGGGAAGTTGGATGTTGGATTATCTGGATATTAAATTTTCGGAAGTTGGGTGTCGGGATATTGGGATAGACCAAGTACATATCTCAAAATGCTATTTATCCCGTTCATTCGCTCGGGATTTCAAATCATTCAGGATGACGTTTATTCGGGATTTCGGCCGTTACCGATTTCAAACACTCCAAATCTAAGATCCAATTTTTATACATGTATAAATAAACATGGTAAAGCAAGCAAACGACAAGAACAGTGTACGCACATAATATATGTACACATAAATCAATGTTACATGTATCGTTTTGCTGTAAATTTTTTTGTTGGCGTTACATATATCGATATCCTTAACATGTAACACATTACGGCTCTGTCACAGATAACATATCTTTAAGTGGGTAAATACTAATGCTCTGATAAAATTATTGTTTGTTGAAAGATTCTAAATACACAAAGTCCTCGTATTTAATACAACTAATCTGCTTTACAAGCTTATTTTTAGACTAGTTTCTATTACGAGTATAAAGGAGGATTCTATCATTTGATTTGTTAGGTTAAATATTCACATTTTTCAATAGTTTTTCGAGAACTTGTTATATTTATGTCATAATTCAGGTGCTGGCTCTAATAACTATAGTAAACCGGTAACGTTCAAATCCTTAAGAACACAATCCCGAGTGTTCATAAGCCCGACAAAATGAAATTCCGAAAGAACGGCATCCCGAATATTGAAATCCCCGAATGAATGTAATCCCCGAATGTTGAAATCCTAGGATGCACGAAATCCCGAAATCGTAATAATTTGGTATTCATACATTTGTGATGCTACATTTTCGGGATTTCGATCATTCAGGATTTATCATTCTGGATGTCATTCATTCGGGATTTCGTTTGTCGTACCGTGTTCTTCGGAAACATAGAAGTTTACTATCATAGATATATTCGAAAATAAACGGATATTCTCTCATTCATTTAATAAATAAAATGTACGACATGAAAATTCAATCTAAATAAGATTAACAGATGATTTATTGAGTTATTTGTGGAACTTGCTGCGAGCAAAATAACTGATGAGATGAATACATGTATATTGAAACGCAAAACGACTGCTAGAATCTTAAAAATAATACATGTATACAGTTTGCAGTATTTATATTATTTTTATCAACATGACATCAAGTTTGAGTAAAATTATGAACTTGCCTTCAAAAACTATGAAAATTTGCAGAATTTGGAGATGTCATAACATAAAATTAATTTTATTAAAAAATTATTATTCCAGTCATTCATAATGCAAACACAAATTTTTTAAAATATCTGATTTATTCAATAATTACATGTATCTAGTTTTAAAAATCAATAATATCATTCGAGCTCAATACTTCAAAAATAATTCTTTTTTAAAAAGATTCTCTTTATGTTTTAAACATGATTTTTTAATCTTTCAAGATATTGTACATGTACAGTACCCACTGAAAAGTATAGCCCGATTTGAAATTATATAGTAAAATATATATAAAATTTTTTTCATAAATCATTCTTTGAAACCTACATTTGATTAACTTTAAAATGGTATAAAAGTTAGCGTTAGAAATAATTACTAAAAGAGATATGAATTTGTATATACATGTAGCTTGAAAATTTCAATTTTGATATATAAAGCGTGGGAAAAATTTTTTCCTTTACAACCATTTTAAGTCGTCCGCAGCTGGGAATCATATGTCTAAAAATATAATTAAAATGAAATGATATAAAATTTAGAAATACTGTAATTATTAGAAAAAACTTTGATAACTTGAAACTTTCCATTTTTTATATGTTTTACTATATAATTTTTAACGGGCGATACTTTTTGTGAGCACTGTACATCGGTTATCGTTATGTACTTCTGTTATTATTATTCTGTTCTAGTTCTTCACGTTCAAAAGTAAACAATTTGTCCTACTCCGTTCATTTTTGTCTATCAAAGAATGATATAACGATAAATACGGGTTATAATCATCAGATCAGATATATCGCCACATTATTTCATAAAAAAAGTTACATGTATTAAGAAATGGCTCAGAAAAAATTTTTCAGCAAAAACCCTCATCTTTCGCTTATAATAACAATAATCTTATTAATATTTTTATTCACGACACCAAAGGTTTCTTTAGCAGTGGAGTTGTATTTACAAGATATTGTAGTCTATGAACCTACGCTGGTTAACAATAACCAACAACTAAACATTACGTATTTTGTATTTAATGACATCTTAGAACAATTCAATATAACTAATCTCGTAATAACATTAATCCCGCGACAAACAAATATCTCAAGCAATATATCAGTAGCTCAAAATGCTCCGCTACTTGGTCCAAATGGCGAAAATCATACTCAGACAGTAATTTATAACATAACAAAAGAAGTTTATGGTGGCACTTGGTCTTTGACATTCGTCGAAAATTATATAATTAAAGGTACTGGTCAATCAATGGTAACATCGCAAAGTTTGAATGTTACTTTTCCACCCAGTACGCAGCCCACTTCAACCACTCAAATGGGGACTGGACCGATTACTTATGTTTCGACGATAGTTCCGGCATCATATATAACAACAACCACCACAGATGCAGCCGGAGTAACTTATTCGACTACGATTTATGTGCCGCCTATAATTCAAACGGTTGTTCACTCAGCAAACCCAGCAAACCCTACCAATACAACGGCTGTCTATTCTCCTCCGAGTTCAGAGGGAAAGACACTTTTGATGATAAGTAATGAGTGGTGGTCAAACAAAATTTATTTGATTGGTATTTACTTTATATTGACGATTTTTACTGCACATTTTCTTCTGTGATAATGATTTTTAATCAATAATCATTACATTTGAAGTTGATGAAAAATGTAACCAGAGATATTGATTTTCTCCCCATTCATAGAAAAATATCACCGTGATTATTTTGGGTAAAGTTTAATCAAGCTTTTAATGGAATTATCTATGTTTATACAAATTACTATACATGTACATGTATCGGTTGGATTGTATTCTATTTATAGGAATTACGTATATGAATGATAATTATCGTACATGTACATGTTTTGTGTCACGATAACGATAATGGTAATATCATTATAGAGACCCCAATACTATCGCTATTACATATATTATTATTACCTGAGATTTTGCCTGTTTTTATAGAGAAAGGTATATATTTTTATTAAATGTATTATTCTAACCTCTTAAACGCATAAAAATTTACTCTCTATCGACAATTACCATTGTCGTCGTGTCGTACTATAGTAATTGATAAACTATATTTTTAATATATCAGACCAAATACATGTACATGTAATTTCAGGTTATTCTAGAGGTTAACTAATATTGTAGCCCAACATCCCGAAATTCTAAAATCCCGACAATACACTCAAAATTGAGTCTGGTACGAAATCCCGAACAACACAATCCCGACACAAAATTTGCAATCATGAAAGCAACGACAAACATGCAAATGATGAAATACGCATCAGCAAACACAACTTAAACTATCTATAAAAACGAACGGACATTATTATGCCCAACAATGGGCAATAATCGTTAATTCGCAGAAATGATGGTGTCGTTTTTTTTGCCGTTTATTAAATAGAAATCATTGCCCAAATAAAATTTTATTCGAAACAAATATAATCGAATAAAAAAACATGAAAACATTACATTACCACTTCGTATACACCCCCCCCCCCCCTTTTGCTTTGATCACATCCCTAATCCTCTCCGGCATCGTGTTAACCAGATCAAAACAATGATCTGTTTCGATGTCATTCCAAACCTCCTCCAATCTTTCCCAAAGATCATCTTTATTAGAAATTACACCCGGAAGTGCACGAAGACGAAGATCAACATCAAGTCACAAATTTTCAATTGAATTGAGATTGGGGGATTGTGGCAGCCACTTTAAAATAGAGATATTATGATTTTTGAACCATTTCAATATTTTACCAGCAACATGTTTAGGATGATTATCCTGTTGAAAAATAAAATTATACAAATCTAATGATGAAAGAAGTTTGTTTGAAAGAATCTCCAATAATATGCACCATTCATTACTTCATCAATCCTACAAAGGTAGCCAGTGCCATTAATATTAAAACAATCCCATATCATTATACTACCTATCACTACCAAACTTGACTGTAGATTGAATATGCATGGTTCATTTTTTTTCTAGCAATATTGGCATTCATCAGACCTGAATATTTGAAATTTTGATTTATCTGATCACATAATATGTAACCAATCATTAATTGTATAATTCTTGTATTTTTTGCAAAGGCTAATTACTTTTCACAATATTTGACAGATAAATATAGCTTTTTTCTTTTAACTCATGTTACCATATCCTGATTACCCAATGCTTTACATATAGTATTAATTTTCATACTAATTTTTTTTAATAGTAATTTTTATAATTGAATTGAATTTGAACATTCATATATTATAATTTGCTGGATAAGTATTTGTATATTAAGTTTTTTGCTGATGGTCTAATTTAGATTTATTTTTGATATTATTTATTTTTTTCAAGTTTTGTAATAACTTTATAATATATAGTAATATTATAAATGCTATATTTCTCTTGAAGTAACATAATTATTTAAAAATATTATTCTATAATAAGCTATATTATATTTTAATAAAAACTAAAGAAAAATATTAAAATAAATATGGGAAAGATTTTTTATTATATTAATTTTTAAATATTTATATAGAAAAAAAGTTTTATTAATACTTACAATAAAATCTCTATAAATACAACCTTCATAAGTGTAATCTCTCTCTAAATATAACATTTTGCTCAGTTTCAAGCTTGGAATTTAGTGAATAAATACAACTCTTCCTTTTTTGTAATATAATAAATTTGTGAGTTCCATTCTAATAGATTTATTTCTCTAAGTATAATTTATATAATTTACATAATGATTAATATAATATAATTGTAATACAGATTTATTACAATATTAAATATTACTATTTGGTATTATTTATTACAAATCAAATCTTATGTGAAGAATTACTATTTTTTTTTCAGTATTTGACTTTATTCTTTTTATAATAATCTATTTACAATAACTTTGAAACAGAAAGATTTTAATAATTATTACTATTATAAATTTAATTATATAAAGAAAAGACTCTTTTAATATTTAAGATAGAAACTATTTATTTCATTTTATAATAGCTTTGAAACTAGCAGAAGAATTTTAATTGTTTAATATAGATATTATTCAAAAATATAAAGATAATAAAGTGAGCAGAAAATAAATCAAAAATATCACATAATTAATCAAATAAAACTACTTTAACTAATAAATAAAAATTTGAACTTTGTTAATATACTCATAATAATAAAGCTGAATTAAAGCTAAATAAAATATTACAGTTTATAAATTTATTATTTTTCAAATTTTAAAAGATAATTATAAATATTTAAATAAGAAGATTGCTAACTCTGATTTGAAATGATATAAACTGATCAAATTTTCTGAACTTAAACATACACTTATGAAGTTTATATTAATATATCAATATCATATCATTCTGAATAATATGATTATTATAGTAAAAGCCAAATTATTTAGTAAAAAATTACAAATTTCTGAAAGAAAATTACAATTCTCTTCTGATTAGCTTTAGAAATTTAAAGAATAAAACAAAATATAATTATAAAAGCTTTATAATAAAGCAAGCTCAAGTAATTAGAATATTATTATTAAGAATTTCTTTAGATAGAATTTATAATATAAATAAAACTATTTTATTTTATTAGTTAGAATCTGATAGATCACTAATAATAATATATTTCTTGGGATAAAAAAAATAAAAAAGATCTATTTATAGTTCTATATATAAATATTAATGACTCATATAGCTAAATTCTTTAATAATTAATAAATATGTAAAATCAAAATGCTTTAAAAATATAAATCTTAATAATTTAAGAGTAACTTATTATAATAATAATAGTACTTGGATATTAATAATCTTGTTTCAAGAATAGTTAAGTAATTTTAATATTAAAATTTCCAAATTATATAAAAATTAACTTATCATTTTTTAAATAATTATCAAAGTCATATTGCAGAAGAAATAAGTCTCTCAAATATTAAAATATATTTTCTATTATTAAATATAATAGCAAAAATTCAACTAATAAATATCAGAATTATTATGTTATTTAAAAAGTATTATTATCAGTATCATATTTAATAAATATTAAAATAAATTAAGAGTAAAGAAAATATCAAAAATTTAAAAATAAATACTTTATTAGTAGTATAATATATTATCCAAGCTTGGAATGATATTATATCTGATATTATTTCTAATTATTAAAAAGCTATCAAGATTTTTTCTAATAATAATAATAATTTTTCTTGCAGAAATAAAGTTTAGAAGTTAAATAATAAATCACTTACTAAATTATTTAAATTTATTATGAAATTATATTTTTCTGAGATAATAATAACAAATAAATATTTGTCTTTTTCACAAGAAAATATTATTTTTGAGTTTTCTAATAATAATAATATTATTATTATTTCTTTATTTAATGAAGAACATAATGAAAAGATTAATAATAATAATAATAAAATTCTAATAATAAGTATTAATAAGATATTAAAAAGTTTAAGAAATATAAAGATATCTCTAATTTAACAAAAAAAACTAGTAGTTATTTAAAAATTATTAATAATTTAGAGAAATTTATTTGTGAAAAATAGGTAAATTTAATAAAATAAAGTAATATTACTTAATTCTTAGTTAATAATTAAAGATTTTGATAATTAAATTTTTTTATATAACTTTAGCTAGAATTATAATAAAGAAAAATTTGTTTAATAAATACAAATCATTAAAATATTCTTTTCAAATAAGAAAATCTTTATAAATATAAAACTAATATAAATATAATATAGTACTTAATTCTAAGATATTATATTTATAAAGATTTTATTGTACTTACTTTTTTTAAAGGAATATTAATATTTAGAAGAAAAATATATCTTATAAATAATTAGTTTAATTAATATTTATTTATTTTTATTTATATATAAAAATTATATTTAATATAATAAAATCTATTTATTTATTAACTTTTATATAATTAAAAATTATATAAATAATAATTAGTAATTTAAATAATATATTATTTATATAGATTACTATATATAATAATCTGTATAAGTAATATATTACTCAAATTATCAATCTTAAATCACAAAATTATAATCGTAAAAATAAATAATAAATATATAAATAATAAAATATACATTAATAAATATAACTTAAGCTATATATAAAAAATAAATAGATATTATTATATTTAATTATAAGTAAAATTATTAATTTATATAATAATATATTTTTTTACTATTTATTAAATAAAAATTATTACTTAAATAAAATTTTATTTAAAATAAATATAATTAAATAAAAAATATATATTATTCTTTTATATATTTCTCTTTTTTTAATTATATTTTTAATTTTCTTTAGTATTATATTAATCAGATTAAAATAATAATTTATTTTGATATTATTTTAAATTTTTTTTTATAAAAATTATATTTAAAAGTATATAAAAATAAAAATCAATAATATATTATAAAATTTTAATTAGATTAAGATTAAAAAACTTATAGTAATTATTTTAAAATAAGAATATTATAATTTTTAAATTATTTTAATATTTTACTAATAATATTATTATTATAGTAATATAAAATTTCTTAATTTCATAATCTTTTCTTGATTATGCAAAATTCTATTTTTTTATAATTTTATAATTATTTTATAAA